CAATAACCACATGTGGCTGGGGCTACTATATTGCACAATCCAGGCATGAAATATTTCATCATCACAGAAAGCCAAACTCAACAGTGCTGATATGGGAAAAAAAAAAAAAAAAAAAAAACATCAAAAAACTATTCTCTAAGCTCAGCAATAGCAGGGTCAGAAAATCCACTTTAAAAAAAAATATATCAAGAGGGTTGGGATTTAGCTTAGTGGTAGAACACTTGTACCACACCTTGGGTTCCATTCCCAGAATGACAGAGATGAAAAACAAAGCAATGAGATGCTGAACCAAGAAATACCAATTATACTCCTAAATATATCCAGTCCCAGTGTATCACAACTCTCAGTATTTAGCCTGCATCAGAAACAGAATATATAGGAGACCTCAGGGCAACACCTCTAGATTCTGATTCTGCAGTCTGAGTTGAATTGAGCCTTAGAATTTGCATTCCCCACCACTCCTGGGATGAGACCCAGGGCCCTGCAGTACTAGGTAAGTCTTCTATCACCAAATTAAACCCACTGAGCTAACATGCACAGCAAAATTCCTTTTCTAACAAATTCTTCTGACAAATTCCCAGGGAACACAGATGCCACTGGTCTATGGACCACACTATGACAAACACTGGTATAGTTAAATAATTCAAATTTTTAATCTCTTCTATTCTCTGTTTCTCACTGTTCTACCACTGTAAAATGAACTGACATCCTCTCCTGGAGTCTCTTTACCACTTTACAGTCCTATGGACAAAGTTTAAACTGGCATTGTTCTTCCATGTTGCTGCTTGGAAACCCACTGGGAAGAGCAACACTGAAAGTCCAAGACACAGCTATTAGACTCAACCTTAGGAGAGATGTCAGGATGTTAACAAAAAGCAGAAGAAAAAAAAAGAAAGAAAGGCTACTGGCCTAAGGAAAAACTCCAGGCAGTTCCTACAGAGCTTCCCAAAAGCACTCTCTGAATGAGAAGGCTTAAAGTGAGCAGGCAAAAGCAATTCAAGAAACCGATTTGATTAGTGGGTCCTATTCACACTCACACATTTCTGGATCTGCTTCTCCCCTACAAGCCTGGCACACACACCCTGCTGGCATTCACTTCTGAAGACTCAAGGACAACCCAGGCACTGGATTCTAAGTCCTTTTCCAAACACCAAAGCAGACACTGCCAGGGTCCCTAGATCACCAGAGGCTGCCACAGAGCACAGAGCTCCACTAGCAAGGGGAGCAACCAGAAGCTCAGGCTGAGAGAGGGTTCCACCATTCTAGTGGCCTGTCCTCTAAGTCCCTTCCAGTCAGCTCTACACTTCTGTATGATTGTCCTGGAGCATTTCTTGGTCTCCAGATATTCATTCGCAGAGGTCGTGCACACTCAGTGCAGAAAATGACAAGGCAGCTGACTATGGCAAGGCCTCCTTTGGGACCCACCGCCGGCTCTAAGAAGGACCAGAAAGGTGACGAGATAGCTGCCACTGAAACCAGGAGGGTCCTGTATCAATCGCCAGGAAAGAAGCCCTTGAGGGGGTGGGGGCCAGCCTCCACCCCGCTCCCGGGCGCCTGTTTGAGATGTCACCTTTGCAGGGATAGCAGAACGGAGGGTCAAAAAGGGCATGCGAAATGTCTCTCCTGCGCCCTGGAGGCCACCACCTAGGCCCAGGCCACCCCCAAGAACTAGGCTGCTGTGCTCCATCTGGACGGAGCCCAGCCCAGCCGAAAGGATACCACGGCACCGGCCGAAGGACAGCCGAGGTGCCCCAGAACAATCCGCAGGCGAGTGGCGGCGCGCTGCTGCGCCATGGCGGCGGCGAGGACACCCACCCGCGGGCGCGGGCTCCACTTCATTTCCGGGCCGCCCCGCCTCCTGAGGGAAGGCGCAGCAGCCCTGCGCGACTCCCGGGGCTCCGCCTCCCGGGCCCGGGGGAGAGACTCCCAGGGCCCCCGGGTCAGCTGGGTCCCCTGGCACCTGGGCTCCTTCTTCTCCTATGCGCTGTTTCTAATCCACAGGGACCCTCCCTGGATGATCATAGCTTCAGTCCATCAACAACCAACCATCCTCGCGACTCTTCTCTCCACTGCTAAACCAGTATAATCCAAAGGTTCATCCCTAAAAATCTGTCCTGCTGTTCCAAAGAGATTTAATTTAGTGCGAATCCAGCCCAAAATATTAGTTTGGCTGCCCCTCCCCCTTAAATGTATTAAATAAATGACTTCCAGAAAATTGTGATAAAGTCTAGCAAAATTTGAATTTTTTTTTTTTTTACAGAACTAAAAGTTCTTTTGTAAGATCTCTTTGTAACATCTTGTTGTAAGACCTGCAGATGATTGGCATTACATCTGCTCTCTCATTGGTTCTTTAGCATGGAGTTACTTCCAGAATTTTGTTCCTTGTAAACTTGCTATCATGTCTTTAATGGAGTCTTTATATAATTTGGTGACAGTGCCATAGTACATCCTGACCATCAGCCCATAAGATATTATGTGTTTGTTCAGAGGGAACAACAGCCACTGGAAAATGGCCATCCTTTGGCCTTCACCTTTGGGTTCTTTATGCCTTTCCCATGACATTCTTCACCTGTGTCCTAGAGTCTAGGGTCCTGCTCACAGAAGGAAATAAAATAAATTTTGAAATTTCAATGAAATACAGAGAAAGGACTGGGGATGTGGCTCAGTGATTAAGTGCCCCTGAATTCAACACACCACCACCCCCTCCCCCCCGGGGAAAAAAAAAGAACTTCCTTATTATCCAGCAATTTCATTTCTGGAATTGAAAGCCAAAAGATACTACAAGAATGGAAAGCAGGTTCTCATTCATGTTCACAGCTGCACTGTTCACAATCACTGAAAGGAGGAAAGCAACCCACAATGGAGAAGTCAATGAGCAGAGGTCCATATAGACATACCATGGAATATTATTCAGTTTTTAAAAGGATGGACGTTCTGACACATGCCACAGCATGGAAGAACCTAGGACACTGTGCTAAGTGAAATAACCTGTCAGGAAAAGACAAATACTTTGTATCTGAGTGTCCCTAAATTAACCAAATTCATACAGTCAGGAGGTAGAATGTGGTGACCCTGGCTAGGGGAAATGGGAAAGGAGAATTAGCATTGACTGGGGATGATGTGTCAGTTCAGTAAATTGAAAAGAGTTCTGTCAATGGATGGTGACAATGGCTGCATAGCAGTGTGAATATACTTAATGTCACTGATCTACTCACTTAAAAATGGCTAAGATGGCCAGGTGTGGGAGCACATGCTTTTAAACTCAGTGACTGGAGAGGCAGAAGCAGGAGGATTGCAAATTCCAGGTCAGCCTGGGCAATTTAGTGAGACCATGTCTCAAAATAAAAAATACAAATGGCCTAGGATGTTGCTAAATTGTAGAGTCCTGGTTCAACCTCCAGTGATAAAAAAACACACAAACAAAACGATAAGATGGCTAATTTTAGGTTATAGATATTTTAACTCAATTTTATGTATAAAAAAGAACACAGGAGTAAAGGGAAGAAGCTCCAAGCACATTTATGTGAGCAAAGGCCTCTGGCTTTCCTCAAGTCTGAGTCCCAAGTTTCCTAGAAGAAAGTTATGGTTTTATTTTGTGCTTTGAGCATAAGCTTTTGGATTACTGTCTGGTGAAATGAACAGGCCAGGACACATCCCCTCCCACTGAGCAGCCAGGCTTCTCCTCATTCTGCCAAGGCATCCTGTCCCATCTCTTCATGTTCCAGTAGAGGTTTGCTCCCACACTTCACAAGGAGGGTGCACATGGGTGAAAAACAGCCCTAGTCATCCTGCTGTCATTCCCCTTCCCACTACAGAGTGGGTGCCTACAAATTGCTATGTGAACTAATGGATAGAAAGGACACAGATGAGATGAGAAATGCATGTTCCTGACAGAGAGTTGGCTTTCACTCACAGATGCACACGGGGACTGATAAAGTGTGCTCTTTTCCCTGGTGAAGTTTGGTTTGTCAATAGCAGTTGAATAGGATGTTTGCACATGTGGTTGTAATCATAACAACTGAGGAGGCCCAGGCAGGAGGAACAAATTATGCTGAAACTATTCTAGATCAAAGCAGTGCCCTCTGCATGCTGTTTGCACTGGCATTCCTTATTTATATTTTAGTTCCTACCATTCTAGAACCAGTTTTCTTAGGCCGTCTTAATGATTCTCTTGCCTTCACTCCTTTCCATATGTGGCTAATAAAATAACAAATGTGGAAACACAAGACGTAGGAAAACCTGTGCTGAGCAGAATGACAGGAAAGGCACTAGGCTGTTTCTTTCTTAATGAAGTCTTCACTAGAATTTTTAAAATAAGGACTATATCTCCTTGCTGCCCTCAAGTGGTATAAAAATACAGTGCTATATTGGAATTAATCCCCAGTCCAAGCTCACTCCCAATTCAGGCTAAAGAATCTTAAAATGTCCCTGTTCCTCGAAACAGCTTAGGTTTCATTCATAAMTACTAAAGGCTTTCAATTACCCTGCTTAATAGGAAATACAGGGGAAGTTACTCTTGTTTACATTCCTTAGAAACAAAGGAAAAGATATTGTGTTTTTGAAGGAGAGTTGCTAGGTTGAAGAAGTCTTGGAAGGAATCCTGAGTCAGAGAATGAGGACCCATCCTAATTTTGGTCCCATGATGTCCTTTTTACACCTTTCACCAAATGTGAATGTACTACACAATGTACTACACATTGGAAATCTCTCATGGCATGAAAGTAGGAGATGGTAGATTTACTGGGAAAGGGTGGTGGGTTTACTGGGAGAGGGGTGTTTATCTCAGTGCATACTGGGTTTCAAAAAAATACATTTTTTTTTTTGGCCTGGAAAAAGAGCTGATTCAATGAAAGGAGCTTATTGAATATGCTTAAATCAAATACCATCTTTATTAGTTGTAATCCCAAAGCATTTTTTCTGAAAACAGCAATATTTCATTAAGTTCATTGCACTGCAAAATTAACTCTACACAATAAAGTGCCCAATACATGCTTCTTGATTTTGTTAACAAGTGATAGAAAAGATTACATCATCCCAATATGAAAACATTTTCCTTAGACTCCTAGTTTCTTCTGATTTCCTTTAAAAGAGTTAAAATTAAGGACTGTTTCAAATGTTGGTTCTTTCTCCTTTCACAAGTCGTGCTTGAAACATAAAAATATCCTAGAAATAAACCAAACAATGAGTTTATAGAACACTTCCTTTAACCTGTTCCCCACAAGACAAGATTTCTAGCCTCTACAAATGATAAGATAGCAAAACTATTTTTAAAAAGTTACTTAAAAACTATTATAATAATATTGGTCAGTAAATAAAACAAGTTTTGAAACTCCAATTAATTCTCTTGCCAACATTAATGCACTGCCAATGTCAGTGCTAGGCACACAGAGTCAGTGGATCCCCAAGCTGTCGGCCTTGCTGATCACAGGTAATGCACCAGGGAAGGTGGCTGTGATGCTCAGTCACCGCCGTTCACAACCCTTCTCTCAGCTTAGCTTTTTGTTACTTGCCTGAACCACTTTGAGGTTGCAACTCTGATGAGATCAGAGTAGTGAAAATTGTACCATGGATACTGGCTTACTTGGTGTGGGGAGGGGGTACTGGAGATGGAACCCAGGGCCACTCTCCACTGATCTATATCCCCAGGCTTTTTATTTTCCATTTTGAGACAGGGGCTCACTAAGTTGCTGAGGCTGGCCTCACTCCCAATCCTCCTGCCTCAGCCAAACTGTGAAGTAGCTGGGATTACAGGCATGTGCCACAACGCACCCTACTGCATTTATTAATAATGCAATTAGGAAATTCTTATTTCTTGTTTCTTTTTTCTTTTTGTAGTTGTAGATGGACAGAATGCCTTTATTTTATGTGTTTATTTTTATGTGGTGCTAAGGATCAAACCCAGTGCCTTATACATATTAGGTAAGCACTCTGCAACTGAGCTACAACCCCAGCCCCTCTTGTTTATTTCTGAGCAACAGCAGGGTATGGTGGAAAGAGTTATTTCAAAATTAGGCCTGACTGTGAAATATAGCTCTGTTAGTTAGACCATTGTCTGAAATGCTAATTCTTCCTTTATAGTAAGTACTATACAGACTGTTCATTGGGTTCTGGTGAAGAAAATGAGAAAAGGGACATGGAAGTGTTTATATACATTAGAATTATAAACCATATCAAAAAGTTGATATGGTAATTCTATTATTATTCTAAGAACACCTGATTAATTCTAACTTATAAAGTAAATTATGTAAATATGGGAGGTGTTCCTTTAGCACAACCTTCATAAACTTCAAATTTAATGAATTGTTCCAGGACCACTTAGATACCAAAGTACATGGATGCTCAAGTCCCTACAATAAAATAACCTCTGTACATCCTCCCTTATATTTCAAATCACTCTAGATTTCTTTTAGCACTTGGTACAATAGAAACACTATTCAAATACACTGTAATAGTAGGGATTTTTAAAATGTCTGTACATGTTCAGTACAGAAGCAATTATTTTTAAATAGTTTAAGTATTGTCTAACAATTCGGTTGGTTGAATCTCCAATTGTGGGGTATTTTCAGACAAGGGGCACATCTGTAAGTTCTAAAGGGAGAAGCAAGATTCTCCACCATGGAAAGCTGTTCTGATGGTTTCCAGTGGCCCATCCACTGGTGGGCAGTGACCTAAAGCATCCTGGGTGGCCCAGAGTTTTCATCATTCTCAGTCCCTTAGAGGAAGGGACATACCTATACTCTCATTATCTCATACAATTAAAATAAATAGGAATAGCTTCTTGGTTCAGAGCCTAAAATGTGTGTTTTATATAAAGTAAAGTTGTTCATTTAATTGTACTGATTGATAATTTATCTATTGCTCATCAGCATCATTGAATATCTGCTACTTAAAAACAGATACTTTCCAAGTGATGTGTACCAATTAAGAAAGCACACGAAACACTGTTTCCTGCCCCTCATCCCTAAGCATTCCTGATCCTTCATCTCCGCTCCACACACATTATGCCTCTCATAAAACTCCAGATGCACATTTACTAAAAGCAACACTGACCCCAGAATTTCTCTTTGAAGTCTGACTGGATTGCCTAATAGAATTATTAATCATAGGCATGCAATACTGCACCCAACCAGGATTTGACTTACAAACTGCCAGACCCCTCCATGGCATCCTAAATCTGTCTTTTTGTAAGTCATCCTCTCCTTCCAGCCCCCCAGCTAAATCCTAATTAATAAATTACAAAAAAGGAAATTTAACTAGCTGTGGTATATACTTTTTTAAGGTATATATAGGACAGGGGGCATAAGTTCCTAAGTAACAGATCTTGACATTTTTAAGCTTAAGTTTTCTCAATGAGTGTATATCTCCAAATCCTAAAAAGAAATGTATCACCCTGTGGTTCATCATCATCTTAGTCATAAAAGTTAGTTACCCAGTCAAATTTGGAATAAGTTGTCACTGCAGTGGCAAGTTATATGAAAGCTGAAATTATCTTGAGAAAGAACATAGCACACTTCTCAATAAGAAGTGACATTTAGGGGTCAACACGTTGATATTATTACCCAGCTTGTTTCCTGCTGAAGATAAGGCTGAGGTTACTTAGCTCTCCTTTTTCCAGAAAAAAAAAAAAAAAAGTATAAACAGTTCTAAGTGGAAAAACAATAGCTAGAACTCACCTTCTTTGTCATGAGTTAGTTATCTTAAGGCGATCACACCTGTCAAAAGGACCTTCTACTTCATACCAAAATTCAAATTTCTGGAGTACAGATTCCATTTCTTGTGCAGGCTCCAGTGTCATGCACAACCATAGCAGGCAAAGCAAAAGGAAAAGTGTGCACTTTTACATCCATGTAAAAATGGTAAGTATTTTTCCAGAACATATAGTCATTGAAAATATAGAAAAATTGCTAAGTTAACATGCTATTTTAGTATTTCAGCCACAAGGCTGTGCACTATATGGTGAGACACTCTGAAGCAATTTCACAAATGACCAAGATTTAAAAGTAACAGGTTTAGAATCCTAGGGGCACCTGACTTCTGACTGAGTAGAGCAAAAAAAAAAAAAAGCACAAGGAAGGCAAATATACTTCCTGGTAAGTAAATTGGAAAAAACAGTCTAGTTTAGTGAAAAGTCATAAATCTTTTACATGTTACCTTTTACATGTACCTATGATTTTCTCTTTTGAACCCATTCATCTTTCAAAACTGGAACAACATGGATGCATACTTTCTGGAATCCTTGAGTTTGGTTCCGATCAGATCCATGGATGAGCAATGGGTGAAAGAAAACGGTGTCTCCCTTCTCCATCACAAGGTGCACTCGGGCATGGTCTTGGTCATAGTTCTGGATCCCATGGGACACGGGGTTAACTCCACCCTGGAACACATAAGACAGGCACAGTCTACACTGGAGGAAGAAACCAATGCTTTGTGTATGACTTGGCAGGGACAGCAAGGGTTCTCCGACTTCTACCAAGATAAAGACATATCAAATTAGTTTCTTAAATTAAAACTAATGAAAAAATCTGTCATATGTCTGGGTTTTGAACATCACATGCTGCGGGTACAGTGGTACACACCTGTGATCCCAGCTACTTGGGAGGCTGAGACCCGGCATCACAAGTTCAGGGCAGCCTAAGCAAACTTACCAACATCCCATCTGAAATTAAGATTTTTACAAAAGAATGGAGATGTAGCCCAGTGGTGGAGGATTTGCCTAGGATGTGTGTTGGAATAACTTTCAGTCTCAGCTAGCAGCTAGGAGCAACTCAGAAGTGCCTAAAATATCCACCTTCCTTCAGGCCTGACAGGAGCGCCTGCAGGATGGGGTGAAACCACATACTCAGCACTTGTGGTTTATGTTGCCAAACTACCAGACCAGGAAAACAAGAGTCAGGGGCTTCAGGGCATGAAACCCCAGACTCAGTAAGGGCCAAAGACCCTTCCAGATTGCTTTCTGCCACAACAGCAATATTTAGAGTTTCCACACAGTGTGGTTACATTAGGCAGAAGATGATTGGCTTATGGATATTGTCTTGCTTATATATGATTGACAGGCACTCCCCACAAGAACCCTATAAAAGTTGTGTGCATTCCAAAAATAAACTGAGCTACTGGACAACGACCTGAGGTGGGGTCTCCAGCCGGTTCTCTCACCAGCTCCGGGAGTCTGTGTGTTGATTCCGCATCTCTACCCCCAGCAACAAGGTAGCCGACCCACGAAGGGACTAGGAACACATTCAGATGTGCAGGGCCTTGGGTTTGAATCCCAGCACACAAAAAAGGAAATACCTCTTCATATTAAAATCATCGATTTTTTTAACCAATTGAAAAATGTTGAACTTTACCTTGAATTACAAATAATCAGATCAGTTCTGACTCTTGTGGTGAATGCAGGTGAACACCTTTCTCTTATTTCCAGCCTCAATCTTAGCATCCTTGCCCCATTCTCCTCAGCTAGAATTTTGTTCACATCATTCTTGTATTACTCAGGGTGTCTTGAAGAGGCTAATTCTCCCCAAACTAAGTGCAGAACATGATCAATTTTTCTAAGTTCAAAGGACTCATATCATATTCAGAATAAAAAGTGAACAGCAAGCTTAAATACTGTGTTTGTTGATAACTATTTCCAAAAGTAGCCTTAACTCCAGGAAATATGTATGTCCTTATTATAGAAACTGAAGTGAGAAGTGACTACAGTCGATGAGACTTTATGCATCTGGGCAGAAGGTTCCCATTCCTCATGCTAAGAGTATCCTTTTGGGGAATAATCATTGTCCTACTGCACAACATTGTGACTTTGACCCAGTGCCCTTCTTTCCTGGCCAACTATAGTCTCCTAGCTATAGTCTCCAGCTAAGCTAAGCAGACCTTCCACTGCCACTGCTGCGAATCGAAACAGCATCTCAGAGACCTGTCTGCTCCCAAAGCCCTGGACACCATTCCCTTCTGCTCAATAAGCCTCCTTAGGATTGCACCAACCCTTACCTGTTGTAGGGCATGATGTAATGTGGGACATGTTGCATCAGAAAAGAGGAAACCTAACTTGCTGGCTGCTACCCGCATCCCAGTCCTGGGGCCACATGTGGCTAAGAGAGCACCTAGCGATTAGCCAGAAGGCATTGCCGTGGGTTGTGATGAAGAATCTGACTACCTCTAGGATGCCCTCACGGACAGCTCAGACAGCTCATGTCTCCCATTACTGCCTGTAGGATGAGTGTACACGTGAACTCTCCCCACCCTGCTGACCTTTACCTTGATTGGCTCCTGTACATTATATTAGCTGTGTGTGTTTTCTCAATAAACGAGATCCTGCTTTGACTGTTTTCTCCGGCGGGACTGATTGTCTTCAGGCGAGGGAGGGCTGGGTGTGGGTGGCCAGTCGACCTTTAGTCGACCTTTGCCTTTCTTGGCTTGTTCTGGTTAGGGCATGCTCCCCCAATCTTTCCCGCAGGTCAGGAGGGAAGGGGGGAGGGCTAACAACCCCCAACAGCCTGTCCCTGAACTTAACTGATGAATTTCACAATTTCCACTTTTATATCAGGATTCAGACTCAAATATTTCCACAGAACACAATCAGTAGTGCAAGAATTCAGAGAGAGAAGCCCTTGAGGCCACAGCCTTCACATCCAACAGAAGCAAGACTCAGTCTCCTTGCTCACCACAGCTGCCCTTTCCAATCTGACCATCTTTGGGGGTTTCAGGATTTTCTGGTCTAGCATCAAAAAGGCTGAGATCTGCTCTCTGGTTTTGCTGCCTCTGAGTGAAAAACCAGCCTCTACCTCAGAGCAAACCTGTCCAAGGAAGGGACATGACCTTTGTCCTTGGAAAGACCCACAGAGCACTCCTAGGCACATTCCCACTCTGCTAAGTTGTTTATCTACAAATAACAGGAGAGATCTGAGGAGCCAGGTGTCCCTGACTCAGTCAGGCTAGGTGGGGATCCATAGCAACCCCCTAGCAGCCACAATCAGCATGAGACAGGGAAATACCTGGGATGCCAGATGACCCTCCCAGTAGTTTATGGTGTTGGGAAACCATGCAGTTCAGCAGGAACACCCCTCTTGGCTTAAACCAATCAATTCAAATGAATCCTCCTCTTATAGTAACCAATCATCCCTACCCAACTTGTTCCAGCCAGTGAATATGCTAATCATGTTTTAGAGTTGTTATTTGATTTTCCCGCGGTGTGTGATGATTTGCTAAGAGCTGCTATGATGTATGTGGGGGTCCCTGCCTTCTCCAAAGAATGTATAAAACTGCTGCAAACCCTGGGCTTGGGGTCTCTCAGCGTCACCAGTTGCTGTGTGTGCGTGCGGAGGACCAAGCTAGTTCGCAATAAACACCTCTTTGCTGCTCACATCAATCTTGGTCTCTGGTGGTCTTTTGAGGGTCCTGAATTCGAGCATAACATGAGCTCCTACACCTCCTGGGAATCAATTGTGCCCCAGACCTGAGATCATATTCTTCAAGAATGGATAGGACCTCACCATTCTTGGGTGCAGAAGCACAGAGTAGCTTCCCAGCATCAACATTTGAATGGATAAACAAATCATTGTTCAGCCATGCCACGGAATACTACTTAGGAATGGAAAGGAAATGGAAAGGAAAGAGCTATTGAGATGTGTCAGCTTTGGTGAAACTCAAAATAACATGCTAACCAACAAAGCCATACACACACACACACACACACACACACACACACACATGATAATACTTATATGACATTTTATAAAATATAAACTAATCTACAGGAACCGAAAGCAGATGAGTGGTTGGAGGTAGAATGGATTCTCTTGATTATTACCAGATTTTGTGTGTGTGTGTGTGTGTGTGTGTGTGTGTGAAAAATAATCAAATTATATACATTTCAAAATTTTATCATCATGACACAGCTCAAGAAACTTTTTTTTTTAGAAAAGTAAATCTCTTTAGCTTCCTAAAAAACAGAAGGACCCCAATATCCCCATATAAACTGGAAACTTAGAATCCTATTACAGTCTCTTTAATCTGGTCCTAACATACATTTTCAGACTCTCCTCTTCCTCTACTACTCAAAATGTGCTGCCAGTCCCCAGCCCATCTGGATTGTGAGCTCCTTTTTGCCTTTCCTACTCCTTAGCCTAGATCCCCATGCCTACATGGAGATGGTCTTTGTATTTTTTTCATACCAGGGATTAAACCCAGGGGCGCTTACCACTGAGCCACATCCCTAGCCCTTTTTATACAGATAGGGTCTAAATTGCTTAGAGCCTTGCTAATTTGCTGAGGCTAGCTAGCACTGAACTCACAATAATCCTGCCTCAGCCTCCTATACCTCTGGGATTACAGGCTTTGCAACATCACACAGAGCAAGGGAGATCCTTTTGTGACAGGAAATTCTAACTTGTCCATCCACCTCCCACCCCTGAGCCTCTGTAGGTTTTCTCAAGTGCAARGAGATAATCCCTCCCTCCCTCTCCTCTACTCAGAGTCTTCAGTCAGTGGCACTTCTGCTGGGGTTGAAGGGTTGATGCCTGACCTCTGCCATTAGGCCTCGCCATCTCAGATCCTAGGCAACTCCTACCAAAGTCTCCACACTGGCTGGCTTTCAAGCCCATGTTGAAAAAACAAATGAAATGAATACTTTAGTGATGTCCTTGAACTCCCCCTGATCCTAATTGCAAATTTCAGGTCAATGCTTTGCTGAGAAAGGAAAGCAGTCTCATTTCTAAGCTTTTTGCACCTGATGTGAAATTACAACAGTGAAAGAGATTCTGATCCAGACTCAGTGGTCCCACAGACCTACCTCCCACTGGGGGTAGTCATGTGGCTTCAGGGGAAGTTTGTGAGTGCCTGGGAGGACAGCCAGACAGCCATTGTTCARGTCAATGTGTTCCATGGCAGTGCAAGCACAAACAATGCGATTGCTGGGCCTGAAGGGGAAAAAGTGCAGATCCTGGTGCAAGGGGTGCCGGGAAGTCTTTCTGCCTGAAATGAGACTGCTTTCAAAAGGGGCTTAAACCTCACAATTTTCATCCTATTCCCGAATAAAAAAGCACTGACCTGCACCTGTAAAATACAACCACATCAAACACCATGGAAAATCATTCCCAAGAGAACAGCACCAAACAAAAATAGCAGTCAACAGGGGCTTATACTTTCTTCTGAGTTTCTAGTGCTGGGAGCTTACACTCTTTCCTAGTAAACTGCATATACCCTATCATCCCTGTTGTGCCTTTTTCCTTTGTCACTGAAGCCAGATTTAAAGTTAGGTAGTCAGTGTAGTTAGGTAAATCGGGTCTAATACCGAGTGAAATCTAAAATGGAGGCCATGCTGGGAATGACTCAGGGAAAACAGGACAACTCATGGAATGTTAATGAAGTCCTGAAAAGGCCCTAGGCCAAAGYCCACCTGGAAGAAGTATTAATGAATAGCCCCCAGCAGATTTGGAGATAGCCCATCACCAAGAAGTGATAATGAAGTCCTTCCTGCTCAGACTACTTTTTTGGCCCACCTGTGTCTACCCCTCGGGCCTTCCAACCTACATTCCATCACTGAAAGAACTATAAAAAGGGGAGACAACTGCACTTCCACGGATTCCACCTTCTGGGTCCCCTTCTTCCTCCGGGAGAAGTCTTTTCTTCTGTCCTTTAATAAATTTCTAATTTCTACTCTGACCTTGCCTCGGCTTGCTTCTTTGGTGTTATTCTTCAACATCGGGGAGCAAGAACTCGTCACCGGTCAACAGCGGTAACATCACTCTGGATTTGGAACAGAGCTAGCTAGTATGCAGTAAGAATTAAAAACAAACAAACAAARAATTCAGGATGAATTAAGTTGAAGAGAATGTTATAGAGTCAAAATTGAGGTCCCCTTCAAAGTGGTTGATGCCAAAAACAGCTTCCTTATAGGTCTTACTTTACAGAGCAGTAGGTGTTCTGTGTATCATCAGTGACCAGTCAGAACCACTGACCATACAGTCATTTTCCCCAGCTTTGCTCTTGGAACTTGATTCCCAGACTACCTCATGTCACCCATGGAGGAAGACATTTAGTGACACTGGGCTTCAGTCCTATCCCATAAACCTTTCCCAGCTATTAGAAGAAATAAAGAGTAGAAAAGAATAAAGTCCTTTCATGGCTGATTTCTGCTGCTGATATATTATTTAAAAAAAAAAATCTCTTAGTGAGGTCAGAGAGCCACCTGTAGTAAAATCTCTGGGGATGAGTACCAAAATGCATGCACCCGGGATCTGCTTCAGACTCAGTGTGTCTGTGAGGATTTAGAATCTAGTTTTTGGCAAGCACAAAGCAATATGAGGACTTGAGTGTGACTTGTAGTAACTGCTTTCATTCTGTTAGTAATAATGATGTCTTCAGATCAGGAACACAGAATTTTTGATATCCTAAGAATGGCTGATGAAGATCAGAGATGTTCAATAGAAGGAATCTAAGATATAAGAACAGTCACATTTCTTAAACTGCTTTTTTGGGGAGCAGGTGATCTGAAAATTTAGCAATAACCCTAAAATCAACATCTAAAGTCATTATTTCATTTAGATTTGATATAACATCAGCTATTAAGACTTACACAAAAGCATGCACATTCAGTCCCCACAATTTGAAAGTTACACATGACCAGGGTAGAATATTAACTTTACCTATCTTAATTAAACAATCTTTTTTTTTCTTGCTTCTCTTTAACAAATAAAAGCCTCTTACCAGTACCTGGAGGTTTGTTTATTAGCATTGTGTGCATGGCCATAATATTGGGTCCAGTGAAGCACTTCACATAGTTCAGAATACAAGAAAATTGAGAAGAAAGTTGGGGATTTCATTAGAAATCAGAAGTAAAGGCAAGTGGTAAAAGTGCCACCATCCACACAAGAATCAAAATCGTAATGGTGTGAACACTGATTGGTATTTCACAACACTGCCAACAAAGCATGGAAATCATTCTAAATCTTGTGTTTGGAAATCATTCTAAATCTCCAACACTCCGAACTCAATGGGATGTTTTTGAGCATGATTGAAGTGTAACTGAAGTGGCACCCCCTCTCTCCACAGAAAAAGTCTTAACTGGGCTTCTCCAGGAGTTCTCACCATGGCTGATTTTGGGACTGTCAGCCAAAGAGTCTCTGAGAAAAAGTTCAATATGGATAAATTTCCTATTTTCCTGTTGCCCTGTTTAGCTTGGCCAGGAAGATACCAGCACTCCAGGTGCTGGGCACCCCCTTAATAATTTTTCACAAATGTATCCAGGATAGTAGTTTGTAGAAATGTGCTAAAGAGGCTTCTGGCCTTGAGCTGGGCTTCACAGAGATGTATACATTTTTTAAGATAAGAAGAAGATACCAATTGGGCTCCATGGTAACAGCTGGCAGGGGAAGAAAGAAAGGGGAGAAGAAGCTCTCCCTTTCTCAGGTGTTGTCCTTGAAGTATTAACTTGCCTAAAACAGTGAAGGAAAAAGCTGCTTTTGTGTGAACTTCTGCAGACTATGAACTTCTGAGCCCCTCCCCTTACATGCTGGGTATAAAACTCTGAAACTCCCTGAACTCGAGGTTCAGGGGATTGATTGATTACAGCAAAGGCTGTACCCTCTGAACCTGGCTGCAGCCAAATAAAACTGTTTCCTGCTATCTTTGGTGCCTTGCCTCGTTTGTCCCTACAACACCATAACTGGATAGCCAGGACAGAATTCAAACCCTTCTTCACAGTTTCAATCTGTCTTAATCCATGTGACCACCTTCTAATTAAATTACAAAAAAAAAAAAAAAAACCGCAAAGGTCCAGCTCTAGAAATAAGGAGAGAACATGGTCTACTCACAAAAAGTATTCAATTGAGTGGGATGTCAGTCCAAAATACTAGAAACAGTTTAGCTGGTCCTTGGATGAAGCTAACTAGTGATGACTCCCATAGTGTGAGCCCCAGAGTCTAGTCTCATATTAACTAACTGTAAAGACTAGAAAAATCTTTTTGTAAAGTGTCTTTCCTATCTTGTAACTCCAAATTATTTATTGTTGACACAGTATCTCATTGTTTCTATTTTATTTTCTCATTGTTTCTTTAACTAAAAGAGTTCCTCAGAAAGTCACTTCTCACAAATATATTGTTGTTGTTGTTTTTGTTAATTATTGTTATTACTATTATTGGTACTGGACATTGAACCTAGAGCAATTAACCACTGGGCCACATCCTCAGCATTAATATATATATATWTTTTATTTTGAAACAGGCTGTCACTAAATTGTTTAGGGCCTCACTAAGTTGTTGAGGCTGTTCTTGAATTTGCAATCCTCCTGCCTCAGCCTCCTGGGTTGAACATGTTCATTTCTTAAATGATGTCTCTAAGGAATATGGTGACATTTTTATAGTCCAGGAGGGATGCAAGCCAAGTCAGAATTATGAGGYCCTGTACGCTCTCTCAGAGGCAGAGGGTTTAACACCCTGGGTCAACGACTCTCAGCATATTGTCATTGCAAAGACACTCAGATGGCACTGCTTCATGGACCACACTATGACTAACATTGGCTTAGTTAAATGATCTTGGTCCAGATTTTTAATCTCTCCTAGTCTCTGTTACTCACTTGGAAAATGAGCTGACATCCTCACCTGGGGTCTCTTTATCATTCTATGGACAAATTTTAAACTTTCAATCTTCTCCCACATGGCTGTTTGGAAACCCAGTGGGAAGAGCAACACTGAAAGTCCAAGAAACAGCTATTAGAACCAACATTAAGAGAGATGTCAGGATGTTAACAAAAAGCAGAAGAGAGGCTATTGGCCTAAGGAAAACCTCCAGGCAGTTTTCTACAGTTTCCACAAGTACTCCCTTATCAAGGCTTAAACTGAGCAGGCAAAAGCAGTTCAAGAAACGGATTAGATTCCGGAGGGTCCTATTCACAGTAACATACTTCTGGGTCTGCTCCTCCCTTATAAGCCTGGCACACACATTCCTTCTAGGATTCACTTCTGAAGACTCAAGGAAGACACAGGCTCAAGATTCTAAGTTCTTTTCCAGAAACCAGTGCAGGATTCTGCCAGGGTCCCCAGGCCACCAGAGGGTTCCACAGAGCACAGAGCGCCCCTGAGTTCCCCCTGCAGCCAGTGGACTTGGGCAGGGCCGATATGTCCAGCTCCCACCCTCTCAGAAAAATGGCGTCCCCAATTGAGAGGATTCCCGTGGCCTGTCCCCTAGATCCCTTCCTGGCAGCTCTGTGCTCCTGTTTACACTGCACTTCTTGGTCTCCAGGCATTCGCAGAGGTCGTGCACACTGCCTGCAGAACATAACAAGGCAGCTGTCTAAGGCAAGACCTCAAGTGCGACACCATAGCAGCCACCAGACCAGCCACTATGCACCCGGATTGCCGGAGTGAGGGCCAACAGAACTGGAGATTCRGTCTCCCCACCCCCCGAGATGTGACTATCAGAAGACAATGGCGCAGAGGACCCAGTACAGCAAGCGCAGTGGCTGTCCTGCACACTAGAGGCCACCACTTAGACCTGAGGCCACCTCCAAAGTGGAGGCTTGGTGCTCGTTCTGGCAGGAGCCCAGCTCAGCGCAAAGAATACCACATCCCGGGCTGTGCTGCCCCAGCACCATCTGCACGAGAGCACCTGTGCGCTGCCGCACCATTGCCCCGCGAGGATGCCAATCCGCAGCGCCGGCCCCACTTTATTCCTGGGCCATGCGCCTCCCGGCGGGGGAGGGGCGACTCGACCCAGGGACTAAGTAGCTGCCTGCGCGACACCCTCAGTTCTGCCTCCTGAGCTCGGCCTCTGGATGGGATTGTGGGTATGCAGGAGAAGCCCTGAGTCATTGGGTCAGGGCGGGGGGGCACTGTCACCGGTGCGCCTTGTTCTCCCTCTATCTGTTTCTAACCCCAATGACCCTCCTTGCCTCACCCAGGATCCTGGGTTCAGAGACTTGGCAGGGACACTCCATGACCAAAGACTGAGCCTGGACCTGACCCACACTTTTTAACTTCATAGCTTCAATCTATTAATAGTCACCCAGTGACTGTTCTTTCCACTGCTAAACCAGTAAAATTCAAATGTTTATTCCTAAACTGCTTTTTTTTTTTTTTTTTTTTTAGTGTGTGGAATAAATCACTCCCTGAAAAGCCTAATGAAGTCTAGGATAATTTAAAATTTCTTACAGAACTACAAGTTCTTTTTGTAAGATGGTTTTGTAACACCTTTTGTAAACTCTGCAGGTGATTGGCATTTCA